TCGCCGCCAACAGATCCGTCGCCAACAACAACAAACAACAATAGCCTTCCACGCACATCACCCACTGCCTTCCGCACAAAATAACCACGACCACCAATCCGCAACTCCCGATCCACCATACATACCACGTTGCTACACCGTTTACGACCATTTCACCGCACCCACTCACACACCGACAACCGCACCCACCACAAAAAAAAAAGATCTGCATCCTCCAACTCAACCATTGCACCACCTCTGCTACACCATTCAATTTTTTTTAAAAAAAAAACAAAGGACAGACGATTGGATCTGCGGCTGGATCTTCCCCCTAGGAACCTAGGGAAATGGACGTTGTCCCGACAATGTGAATCGGAGATAAATTAAGGCAGAAAAGAGTGAGGAGAAGAGACGACAACGACATCTTCTGAGCTCAGAGACGGGGAGGGGGAAGAGAGGAGACGGCAGGGGAGGAGAGAAGAGTGATGAGAGGAGACGACGGGGAGAGGGACAATTTTTTATTTTTGATTTTGAGATGAAATTATTCATTGGAATTAAAATTTATAATTAGTACTTAATTAGATACAAAAACCTGAGTTTTGAAAAGTCAAATTAGGAATCTGATTTATGCAAATAGTAATTTAAATACCGTCCTGGGTGTAATTTCCTCTTTTTTTTTTTTTTTTACTTAGAATTGGGCTGGAGGGACGGGTTGTAGCGGAGGCTGGCCCGTCCCTGGATCCGCCCCTGATCGTTACTACTTACACAAAGGGAGACTAATATAATTCAGGGCCTCCTGTTTGTTGAATTATACTCATCAAAATGGTTATGTCGATTTCATTGATTTAATTATATACTTTTATATGCAAATCACAAGTTTCTCAACTGATATTGTATATAAATAGGACTTTTTCTAAAGAAAACATAAGTATTAGTCAATATTGTGTTTAAGAAAGAAAGGAAATTAATTAAAATTTAATAAAAATATACACAAAATTAAGAAGCTGATGCTTCGAATCAAAGCAAATTCCATCGGTATTTATATAGAAAGTAAATAATTAATTGTTACAATAATTAACAAAATTTAATGCAAAAAAATAGAAATTAAATAAATGTGCTTAGCACAGAGTAGGCGGCAGTGTAAGTTTACATTTAAGTTTCCAATGAATTAAAATGCAAATTTATTGAACAATTAAACGTGGGCTCTTTGTCACCTAAACTTTGACGCTAAACACAAAAATTTGTATGAATATAATTATGACAAAAACCTGTATGAATTAAAACCTACATTGTCCTTGTGTGCATATCAATGTAAACCCTAATTATTTCGTAATAGCATATTTCGTTGTATTGAATAATAAGTCAAACTTATTTTAAATCACTTATTTTGTCAATAATTTTTGAAGTTTAGGTAAGTTTTAACTTCTTACTTTTTAGAAAAATAATTTTTAAGCACATTCAAATGTGCTTATTTGACATTTTTGCACAAAAATAAAATATTATGCTCTAAAATAATAATTTAATAACTACATGTTTTATCAAGTTATTCAACCTTAGGTTTTAAAATGTCAAATGAGAAATAAAAATGTAATTGATTAAACAAGAAAAAATTGATGTTTAACTTTGACTTTGACTTCAATTAAAATCAACAAATAGGCTCATAATCAAAATCAGATTAAGGCATAAATGTGTTCGGCATTCCTACCCTAGAATTGGAAAAGCTTGTTGATCATCGACTTCTGAAGACATTTCAGAAAAGTTAGATACCTGAATTATGACAATCGAACTTCTTTTATGTGAGATTGAGTTAACGATGAATCGGGCTCGAAAAAAACAAGGTGGTTAAACCAAAAATATCCTAGAATTGAATTGACTTTATGAAAGTTAGCAAAACTAAAAACCCGCACGTAAAGTACATAAATGAGAAAAGACTAAAATATTTTAGTCTCTCTTTCAACTATTAATATTAAAATTATCATTCCATCATAGAGATCCGGATCTTTGTTAATGACTTGTTTGGTAAAGTAGATTGACAATAAGAACGAAAATCAAAGCTAAAATCTTGTCTATTATACCTTTCAAGCCATGTACTATGTACCAAACATGCCAGAGTTTCATGAAACATGAATGCTTTCAAGTCTAAACTGAATTGGCCTTATTAGACCTCTTTTTCCTACTCTTTGTAGTATTGAGTTTTTTGCTGCTGCCTTTGTTGCTGTCATTTCCAGCCCCACACACAATTGTAAACTCAATCCCATAAGCATTTCCAAAGCAAGAAAACAAGCCTCCATCTGAATCTCTCCTGGAATGTCCTCCACAAATAGATGATCGAGGCCTATATTCATACCTTCTCGATCCCTCATTCTGCCACCTCTCTCCACTTGAAGTAAACTTAAACCCTTTTGCAGCAGCTTCTTCAAATGTCAATTCTTCCAAGATCGAGCTTTCTGTATCTTGAATTTCTGCAGTTTTATACGGTTTCTTTTTGGGCTTTGATGGTGGCGCATCCTGTTGTGGTGGCTCGTTTTTCTTGGCTAATTCCGCAGCTACAACTGACGCTGAAGGGCCAATATCTGAACATAATTCTGAACCATTTACCATTGAACTATTGCATGCTGATTCATCGACAAGTGAGCCATTACATATAGAGCCTGGTTTTACTGGAAATTCCCCATGATTAGACTCGGAACCTTCAGCCACAGAGCGCCAGAATTGGATTTTAGCGTTTAAATCACTGTCTTCTTCCTCTTGATCGCCATTTTTCTGTTGCAGATCATTCGGATTGTTCATTTCTTTCTGTATACCATCAGGAGAATCCTCGACGCAGGAGTTCACATGGCTACTTAATGGCATACTTTTCATGCTGCTGTCAAGAAGAGAAACGCCCATGTTGAGTATACCTTGTGGGCTACCTGTGAAAAGAATACCGGGTTAAAACTGTGCGCCTGCAGTTGAGGAAACGTGTTGAAGATAAAAATATAAATGAGTAAATATTTACCTGATGGACGACGAACCTGAAGAGCAACGAACCTCGTGTTCTTGGAACTGCTTGATTCTGACGGGGCAATGAGGTCACCAACAGGAACACGTACTATGCCGACAAGAACATCACAAAACCATGAAACATTGTATATCTCCACATTTACAGCTGCATTGTCCGAAAACAGGAATTCATTTTCAACACGAAAAGCAAATTTATCGTTCCATGTAGGATTTGTCTGTCCCTGTTGATCAGTCCTCGTGGTAAGTTTCCTGCCAGGATGAACCCATGTAACGGCATAGGTGCGCATGGATTTGGAGATAGGAGCCAGGTTTTGGGCAGATATGAGGCTAATTTCGAGGAGCTGGAAAGGGGGAACTTCATTAGAAACTGTGGAGGTAGTCACGGCGGAGGAGGCTGTCGGGGTCTGAATAATTGATTCCATTTGCTCTCCCTTCATCGTCCGTGACATGGATGGCGAATCAAGAATCGCCGTCAATCAATGGAGGAAGAAGAGGGAGGGATGTGTGTAATGTGTGTTTTGTTTTGTTTTGTTAACGAAGAGTGGTCGCGAGTTGTTAGGGGAGGTGGTTATTTTTGAGGTTTCTTGACCATTGTTTTTATCAAGTTACCTGTCCAATTTAGTTCGTGTCTAGTTCAACTAAAAAAGAAATATTAAAATTTAAGTCAATGTCAACGATAAATCTTAATCACACATTTTAAGGAACCGACGACTTTTTAACCATATATTCTATCAAAATTTATTAAAAATCTGATTTTTATCTAAATAAAACGGAAGCTCAAGGAATGAAGTTGGTAATGTAAATTCTGAATTAGAAATGGCTGTGTTTATTACATCCGAAGTCGCTACGGATATCTTATAGGGATAATCATATATTAAGGATATGTTCGATATAATTTTTGAAAAGTCAAAATAGCTTTTGAGTTTTATTTATATTTCTGGAAAAAAAATAATTAAAAGAAATTTCAAAAGAAGTTGGATCAAGGTCACCTCCTCATTAATCTTTCTATAGAATGCAGAAGCCAAAATAAAAGTTATTTCAAACAATGAGGGAAGACGAATTATTTTTCAAAAGTTATTTTTTCTTTCTGTAAAGGTAGTATGGAATTTTTTATTTTTTTTCCCCCTTTTTATAAAACTTATTAAAGGAAAATGAGAGATTGGGGCAGCCCTCGTAATTTTTAAACAATGTTATTTGCAGTCGTTTATTATTGTAATCGTTCATTATCGTAATCGTTCTACAAGACATATATGTAACTGTTAATGATTTGATTTATAAAGGTAATAAAAAACTACCAAAATAATGCATCAAATCAGTAACCGTCACATAGGACGACTACGATAGGAAATGATTGCAAATTGCATTACTCGTAATTTTTTTAATAAATCTCTCTCTCTCTCTCTCTCTCTCTGACTTCAAATTTCCTTTCCCTTTTTGTTTTGTGAGGATTTTCCATTCATGAAATCATACAATTTCCGTTCTGCAAAATCAGAGACTCAGAGTTGAAAGCAATACATCAAACTGTTGAAAATATTACATACACAGAAGAAAGTATTCTAAGCACACCATTTAGAAGTTGGATCTTCCCGTGGTGTTCTTGGAATTCTTTCTTTTGAGTATTTGTTGGGATGCGAATAAGTTAAAGGAACTGTTCATGTGATTTGGTAAGAAGATGTAACAAAAGTGAAGGATTTTAGATTTCATAGCATAGGCAATCCAATCCAATCCATTCCATTCCATTCCATCTTGCTCAACAACAACAACATAGTGAGATCACTTGATACAAGGAAATTGAATTATCTATACAACCAGAAAAATCTCGTCTGGTTACCTTGTTGATCAGAAGACAACTTTGACACACATTTCGCGGCAGCTTCATCTTTCAGATTATGTTTCCCATACTCTCAACTGTCATGAGTTAGAAAATGTAGTATTAGACACAGACAACCAGATAGAGAAGGATGCATTACAAGGCAAGAAAATTCTCAGCATGCCTACTCTAATGGATCGCTTGAGAATGTTTTGCTAAGCTTAAAAATCAGTAAGTTCGTTTCCTAACACGTTTATAACTTTTCTATTACTTTTAAGTAAAGAAGTTGATTCTTTTCAAGGTACATCCTAGCTTATTGTCAAAATAACGAACTTGGTTCTAACTTTCACCAATAAAAAGATTATATAATTCAAACCTTGTTTGCTCAATGGTAAATTTACTTGCAACAATTATTAGCCTAGCCAAACAGGCTCTCAAAGCAGTCAAGAACTGACGATCGTTAATTATTATTTGCTGCTAAAAGTATTTTCATGACAATCTTCAACCAAGAACATAACATCACTGAGCAGCTCAATATAACAAATGCTAACTTTCTTCATTATATGAAGGAAACTAGCAAGTGAACAAATTCTTGTTGATTTTGCTACATTGTAATAAAGAAATATATTGCAATCAATTTTTACTCTGTATTAAGTTCATGAGCAGATAATTACCATATACCCGAGCTATAGTGTCAAGTTGCATCCTCCTGGCCTTGATATATTGCAAGCGGAAAAGACTGTACAGAGGTTGCCGGTGAGTGAACGAGCTGGTAATTAACGAGCACTGGACCAAAAATGTTGAACTTTGCAGCACTACTGAAAGCAACTTCTGCATCAGAACCATTCTTAAAGATAACTTTAGCACGGCCAGAATCACGATCAACTTCAGTCTTTGATTCCATCAATGGTCCAAAACGCTTGAAGATTCTAGTCAGATTGATTTCTGATGGAAGAGAATCTCTCTCTGCAAAGTTTAGTACAAGTTCCGCAGGCAAAGACTCTTGCTTCCTCTTATTAACATACTCGTTTGATTCCTCTGATGCCTTTACAAGGTTCCCCCTGGAATATCGCTTTCTAGAGTTCGGCCTGCGACCCGAATTTTGATATTTTTCCGGATCGTATGGCACTGGCGGATATTGTCCTCCCCCGTTCTCCCTAGCCTGCAAAAGTTGCTCCCCGGAATAGTTTTGGACAATCCTGTCCGTCCAATAAGAGTCATTCGCATCATCAAATTCAAATTCTCCAGTCCCATCAGCAGCAAGAGAAGCCTTTTTCTTTCTACCTCGCCGATTCAAAGCAATCGAACTTCTAAAACCTGTGAAGAAAGTAATATTTGATCTTAAATAGCTATGACCTTTATTGGGATCCTGTGCTGCCAGTTTAAGTTGTGATAGCATCTCGTCTAGAGAAGAATGTTCTTCAGGAACAACTGTACTTCCCTCTTCATGGTGCTCATTGATCTGTGGGCCACTATCAATTCCTGTTTGATCAGTGTTACCTTTTGAACTTGACAATGTGGGCGCAGTCAACTGGCTCGCTACTCTACGGATGCATTCGCCAATTTTAAATGAAGGCTTAGGTGTTGGAGATGTAGTAGTAGATACTTTTGCATCATGACCGATTACCCTAGGATCTGATCCATCAGCAAAAGAATCAAGCGTTTTACGTTTCCTACCAGAAGACGAGGAAACTGACTTGCTCAAATCTTTCGCATCCGACTCACCTTCACCATCAGGGGAATATGCTATGTCACCCATTATTTCTTTGAAAGTTCTCTCTTTCTTCCTCGGTTGCAAGCTATCCATTGGAGTGTCTTTCCGTTTATGAGAAGCAGCCTTGCCCGAGGAATCATCAACTGCATCACTCAATTGTGTGTGAGCATCATTTTCCAACAATTCTCCAGAGAAGACAAATTCAATCTGTGTATGCTGACCCTTATAATGACTATATGCCAACAATTGAGATCGGGCAATCACAAGATCCAGTCGATCAGCCCCATGAGATGCCGCCGGTGCCAATTCCTTCACATAGTCCAAAAGCTTGGTGGGCTCAAAGGAAGTTGCTTTCGTAGATCGATCCACACCATATCTTCTACTCGATTCTTCACGTATACCAGTATTCTCTACAGTCTGGACATCAATCTTATCAAGGGCTGCTTGTGGTAGGCAACGACAGGCCAAACCCAACTCTACCCGTCTAGAAATCTCTTCCAAGGCACACTCAACTGCATTTTGAAATGCTTCTGAATTACTCTGCTTCTCAATCTGGGAAAAATGAGATCTGAAAGGCTTCAATACAGATAAATCATTCCATGCAAAGGTTCGATCCCCAAAATAGGCTACCAAAAAGCAGTCTTTCTTGTAATATTTCATCGCCTTCTCCGAAGCATCAGCAGGATCAAAAATCTGTCCAGGCCACCAGGGATGGCTTCTGACTTTACCCCAGACTAGATCAGATATAGATAGCTGACCTTCATTTTCTGGAAGCCATAGATAACGAGATCGGTTTGAGCTTACAGATGACAAAAGTTCCTCATTTGATATCTTTGATTGGTCAGTCTCTGAAGAATGCTCTTCAATTCCTATTATTGGCTCCTTACAATCATCTTCCTCCACTTGATATTTGTCGTCGTCTTCTCTTTCTAGCTGCTCTTCCATAAATTTTGGTTCAGAAGCATGACCCAGCACAATATTGTTGCCACTTATCGTGCCAGATCCATCTTCTGCTTCAATAGCCTGATTCACCCCTTCAGTAGAAACCACATTGAACACATAATTCGCCTCAGTGTGATTTCCATCTACCAGAGAAATGTCATCAGTGGCTATGGGTATCTCCAACTGTTCATTTGTCTCCGGCAAGAGGCAGCCGGAATTACTCTGGCCACAGAAAGGATTGGGACCAACTGCAACTTCTAATCCAGTCATAATGGCATCCTCGGAAACAACCTCTATGTTAGCCCCATTATTTGATATAGCATTATCGACTATATGATTCTTGATCTCATCCTTATCAAGTGCACGAGTGAACTGTTCGGTTATTTGGATGGCACCCTCTTGTTTACCATCTTGAATGGATCTATTCTCTTCAACAAAGTTGCCAACCCCAACTTCAGCACCAACAGCAGAATCATTCACCATAACATCATCATCTGCCATTTGCACACCAGTCGTCTCAGTCTTTGATTCTTCACCTTCGGTGGAAAGATGAGTATTCTCGGCAGGAGCATCAGCAGCGAGAATTTTAACAGTACCTGGATGCTTGTATAAAGATTGCAATGGAGCTTCAGCAACGATCTCCTTATCATCTTTTTGGATAAATGCATCTCTATCCAAATCTTTGTCGGAGTTTGCAACTTTCTGATCATTTATCACTCCAACCTCTGCTGTGGCAGCCAGAAGCTGGTCTGTATTCATTCCTGAGTCAGCTTGCACCAAATATTCATCTCCTAGAAGAGTTGAGTTTGTTGTATTTGAGACATTTAGCTTTAATCCTGTCAAGATAACTTGACTATTCATCGTATCCGTATCACCTCTAACCTTGAGAAGCTTGTCTTCATCTATCACAGTATTATCAACTCCATCAGCAGATTCTGTTGGTTCATTGCACGACACTTTGTTTCTTTGTGCCGTGTCATTTTCAAAGTTCCCATCACTCTTCAAGATTTTGTCATTGCTAGGGCAAGTCATATCTGACGAGTCAATACCTGATCCTTCCTCTTTGACATCCAGCACCCCATCAACGTCCATGGTCGTAACTTCCCTTCTTTCACAAACAAAAGTTTGTTCGTGAATAGACTCAGAACCAGTATGTGGAACACTGTTATTTCCATGTTCTGTCCCCGAGTTCATGCTATCAAAATCTTTCAAGCCTAGATTCTCATCCTTAGAATCAGACACTATGACATCCGGTTTAAGAATCGAGTCCTCGTTTAAACTGTCAAAAACATCACCAACCACAAATGTCCCTGTGGGTAAAACGTCTCTACCAGAAACTTGTGTTTCATGATCTGAAGCTGAAACGCTGAAATTCGATGCCATATTGGTCTTTTCAATAATGAGCTCTGAGCCGTCACGAACTAAAGCAACTTCTCCAACACTCTTCTCGTTCCCATCAAATGGAACTATATTGGGAACTTCACAACTCAGGTTCGGGGATGCTTCCACAGGTGAAACCTCACTGCCAGCAGCTGCATCAGTCATCTCGAGAGAGGGTATAGAATCTATTACCAATGTATCATCACTTGCAACATTATCACCTAACTGCAACATCTCTTCTTTGTGCACCGCAACATCTTTCTCCCCAACAGCAACTTCTACAGGATGGTCCAAAATTTCGGGAGTTGCATTATTTGCACCATCCTTATCAGATGCTTCTTGTTTACTGCCCCCGTCTTCTCTAACCATAACATCAGATTTCTCCATAACAACTTCATTCCCGGGAATCCATGCCTCATGATCTCCTTGTGACCCCAAATCACAAACTGCACGATCCCCTTCGTCAACAGACACTCTGAACCTAACCTCTACTTCTTCTGCAATGTGGCTCAGTCTACTCAGTACCGTCTCTTGTCCCTCAATTTCCTTAACCTTACTCTCAGTCCCCTCACTTTCCTCAACCTTATTTTCAGCGACTTCAGTTGAAGCATTTATAACCTCCAGAAAATCATGCGTCGCAGCTTCATTTCTGTTATCTGGCGTACAACCCCTCAACTCTCCAACTTCCCCTGACCCTAAATCACCCTCTTTAAGATCACCGACTCCATCAACAAAAACATCAGACCCCACAACTTCAACCATTATCTCCCCTCCACCTCCACCTCCACCTCCACCTCCCTCGCTATAAGACCCATCAATTTGATTCTCACATTCCAAATTTTCCATTAGGGTTTCATTTGGCACAGTAAAACTCTCTGTGGGCTCTGAAACACCACTAATCACGGGACCCACATCTCCGTGCTCATCCTCCATAGTCACCAAATCTGAATCGAAATTTCAATTCGTAAACAAAAAAAGGCTTAATCTTGACAAGAATCTGAGACAATTACCATAAACCCTCCCAGACAAAGAACATAAATCTACTATATATTTGTTTATAATCAAGAAAGTATCTAGCATACATATTAGGTGAAAATTTTAGAAAACCCACATAGTTTAACTTGAGAATTAGAATGAAAAAATATTACCTTTTAAGAGTGGTGATTTCAGCAGTGCAAGCTGGGATTTTCAAGGGTTGATGCAGAGAGAGAGAGTTGAAAGTACTATTTTCGGTGATGTGTCGAAAGAGTTTGAGTTGCGACTATAGCACAATCTTGTTTGTAGCAGGAATCGGGCTCTCGATTTTTCGGTTCGTTCCCAACTTTTTCATTTTTAGCATTTCAGTTTTCAACCTTAATTTTTAGAGCAAATTGATCCCTAGTAGTTGAGTATGCTATTTAGCCCTGCTAGGTTGCAACCCAAGCTGCAATGTGACATTAAATGATAATTGGAATTAAATTTCATATTTCATTTAACTTATTATCTAACGTCACCTAAACTAAGATTATAATCTCAGTAAAGTTACGTTGCATTACTCTAGTTTTCATCTAAAATAATCATTTCATTTATTTTACTTTTTTTTTTTTTTTTGTACACTGAATAACTTTACTTTTCGTAGAAATAAAAGTGTAAATATAAAAAAATCAAAAAGAAGAAAAAACATCTCTCCCACCATAATCAACCGCTCCACTGTTGGCCTATTCTTGAATGAAGATTAACTATTTAAAAAAAATCATCTAAGATTCTTCCCATAAACTTTAAGCCACGTTTGGTTTAGCTAAAAATAAATTTTTAGTAGGTTTTGATAATAGCTGATAAAATGTGCGGTAGAAAGTTGATAAAGATTGTGGATCTCATGAAATATATAGTTATAATTAATTATTGAATTTGATTTAAATTTTATCAATTTTTTTAATTAAACTAAATAGGATCTAAAATTCCAAACATGTATATGAAGAAGGAGAGTCGATGGTAAGAGACATCATCGACGATTCTAATGGATATGGGGGTGACTATAAGGTTTAAGAACATGCGAGGTTTTTCCCATTTTTTTTCTTTGTTATTTCTTTTTCTTATTTTCCTTTATAATACATATTTACTATCTAACTTTATGCCAAAGTTATATTTTCAATAAATTCACACCTATTTTGGAGTTCTGAAAGAAAATAACAAAATGGGCCAATTTGTATTAAAAAGTAAAGATCAGGAACTTGAATTAAAAAAAAACGAAAAATAAAAATAAAAAAATTAGAGACTTAAGTATCAATTTCCCCCAGTTTTGTGGACCCCGCCACAATTTTACCCAAAATATACAAGGATAAAGCTATGAGCTGAAGATTGTGTTCTTTGACCTTTGTTTGGCTATTTCCCAAATTTGCTAGCACGCGATTTTCCTTTTACCCTTTATGTAGACAATAGACATTGAATATGTAGTCTTTTATCAAAAAATGGTTGTTACACTTTGGTAATTCAATTTGAACGTAGTAAGAGTTAAAAATATCAAATGCGAGATAAAATTAAAAAATATTACTCGATCCTATATACATTTGTTATATTAGGTGTCGGGTTTCTTACTTAATCATATGTATTCAAGAGAATACGCTCGCTTGATTCCTAACACATACTCTTGATTAAAAGATTGAACGCACTTCAACAACATATACTTCAGCTATACTTATAACATGTGTTCCATTGTTAATCAAGTTGTCCTATTCAAGATTGGGCTATATTGTACATGGCAAACAAGATTTTAGTTGTGTAATCAAATATTGTCTATTGTATTAAACAAACTATCTCAACCATAATTGGTCTTGTGGACTGAAAATCCTAGAATAAGTAAATGATCCCATTTTTTTTATTTGAGATATCAAAGAAGCAACCTTTTTGGTTATTGATATCTGGTAGTATTCTTGTTGAACTAGAATTGGGTGTTTTGTTTTCTCACTATAAATGTAATAACCATAAAACTATGATATTCTCTATGGTAAACTGAATTTTCAATAAGTGTGAAGTTCTTATTGACTATTGTAAGCTAGATGTACATCATTATTGACAACAAAGATGACATCATCCCCTATGTAGAGGAAATGTGTGCAGTGGTATGATGGATGAGTTAAAAATCAAGAATGTAGATTTTGTCATGTGAAAGTTGTTGGAATTTTGTATTGGAAATTGGTTGTGACCAATTGAAATGATTTAAATGGAAATTCCTTATTTGGTGAATGAGAAATTAAGCCAAACTTAAACTATTTAATACTTGAATTTTTTTGAAATTGTGTAGAATATTGTGGAATATTCTAGAGAATGTAGATGAAAAAATGTGTCTTTTCATATGGATCATGACTCTT